AACATAGCTGCAATGAACACTGGGGTGCATGTGTCTTTTTGAATTGTTTTCTCAGGGTATATGCCCAGTAGTGGGATTGCTGTGTTACATGGTAGTTTTATTCCTAGCTTTTAGGAATCTTCATACTGTTCTTCATAGTGGTTGCATCAATTCACATTCCCACCAATAATGCACCAGGGTTCCCTTTTCTCCACATCTTCTCTGGAATTTATGTTTTGTAATTTTTTTGATGATGGCTATTTAATTATCTTAAGTACATTAATTTAAATTTATAAAATTAAATACTATGCACCCATTAAACACAATGAGGATATATTTAATATAATATTATAAAAAATATTACCATGAGATATTTTAAGTAAAAAAAGCAAATGTTAGTATGTGTATAGTATGGTACCATCTGTGTAAAAGGAGACGGAAATAAAATGTATTTGTATTTACTTCTATTTGCATAAAATACCTCTGAAATATGCATTCTCATTGGCATGATATCACTCCCAAAGGGGTAAAAATTGGTTTGGTGTGGGAGGAATCTTAAATTTTATGTATAGAACATATTTCTATACATAAAAGGAGATAAACAATACAAAAGGAGATACGCAATATACTTGGGTATGCAAATTAAAAGTTCAGTGCAGTTCAGTCGCTCAGTCATGTCCAACCTCTGCGACCCCATGAACCACAGCACGCCAGGCCTCCCTGTCCAGCACTAACTCCCGGAGTCCACCCAAACCCATGTCCATTGAGTCAGTGATGCCATCCAACCATCTCATCCTCTATTGTCCTCTTCTCCTCCTGCTCTCAATCCCTCCCAGCATCAGGGTCTTTTCCAATGAGTCAGCTCTCTGAATCAGGTAGCCAAAGCATTGGAGTTTCATCTTCAACATCAGTCCTTCCAATGAACACCCAGGACTGATTTCCTTAAGGATAGACTGATTGGATCTCCTTGCAGTCCAAGGGACTCTCAAGAGTCTTCTCCAACACCACAGTTCAAAAGCATCAATTCTTCAGCACTCAGCTTTCTTTATAGTCCAACTCTCACATCCATACATGACCACTGGAAAAACCATAGCCTTTGACTAGATGGACCTTTGTTGACAAAGTAATGTCTCTGCTTTTAAATATGCTATCTAGGTTGGTCATAACTTTCCTTCCAAGGAGTAAGCGTCTTTTAATTTCATGGTTGCAATCACCATCTGCAGTGATTTTGGAGCCCCCAAAAATAAAGTCAGCCACTGTTTCCACTGTTTCCCCATCTATTTCCCATGAAGTGATGGGACCAGATGCCATGGTCTTTGTCTTCTGAATGTTGTGCTTTAAGCCAACTTTTTCACTCTCCTCTTTCACTTTCATCAAGAGGCTTTTTAGTTCTTCTTCACTTTCTGCCATAAGGGTGGTGTCATCTGCATATCTGAGATTATTGATATTTCTCCCGGCAATCTTGATTCCAGCTTGTGCTTCATCCAGCCCAGCGTTTCTCATGATGTACTCTGCATAGAAGTTAAATAAGCAGGGTGACAATATATAGCCTTGATGTACTCCTTTTCCTATTTGGAACCAGTCTGTTGTTCCATGTCCGGTTCTAATTGTTGCTTCCTGACCTGCATACAGGTTTCTCAAGAGGCAGGTCAGGTGATCTGGTATTCCCATCTCTTTCAGAATTTTCCACAGTTTAGCCAATAATCAGAAAAAATGTTTCCAAAGACTCCTTAGGAGAGTGGTGATCAAAAAAAAAAAAAAAAAAAGAAGAAGGTTGAGAAACACTTTTCTAGAAGGATGTAAATAAATGAATCCATATGGTGCCTGAGAGAGCAGAAATGAATTACTAGGAGAAGGAAGTGATGAGAATTAACACTGTTCAGTGTGTGCTCTTTCATATTTTTGGTATTAGAACCATTGGAAGATAGTATCTATCAAAATTTAAATTATAAACAAACCTTAAAAAGGAATACAAGAAATATTTAAGAGATAAAATTTGGAAGACTTGATTACTGAATAAACAGTGAATGAGAGAAATGGATGCATCCAATGAAAAAGACGGTGCTGAGATTTGGGTAATTAGGTCAAGGATTGACAGTAAAATCATTGACTTAGGAGAAGAACGAGTAGAGTGTTAAAGAATTTCATTTTGGATATGTGTGTGAGGTGCCCATAGATCACCCAAGGCAGTGTGCTTACACCAAAGCAATTGGATGTTGAGTCTGAAACTCAGAAGAGAAGTCAGAGTTGTGCTGATGACTTACAATCACCTCCAAATAGATTAATTAGAAGCCTAAAAATGAACGGGGATTGTGTGGTGTGAGACTAACCCTACCCTGGAGGCAGCATCCTAAGAAACACAAGGGCAGCTGAGAAGTGGGAGCCCACCAAGGGGACCAAGAAGAGATTGATAGAGAGGTAGAGGACATCCAGGAGCACAGCCTTCAAGTTAAGGGAGCTCTGCTGCGTGACGTCATGTCACCCTGTCCCATCTAGGAAAGCAAAATGCATGCTTTTCTAACGACACTGGGACTGATCAGGCAGATTTTAAACAATCTGAGTCCCTGACTTCCCTTCATCCACTCTGGTTACACCTTCTCCTCATCCTGATCACCATTGCCTCCACCAAAGGATGGAGGAAAAAGTAATGAGACAGGGACTTTGACCAGCGAATGCAAATCTTTGGGATGGTATGAGGTATGCTGCGCAGCCTCTCTTTACGAAGTCACTGGACTAGAGGAGCTGAATCAGACTGGTCACTGCAGCAATAGTGAGTAGTGACTTTATAGGTGGTTGCCTCAGTTCATTTCTGGGAAGCAATTAGTGTTCAGGACACCTGAGACTCAGATAGTCTCTGGCAGATAAAACTGATACTAAAACACCCCTCCCCAGAAAAATTTTTAAATTTATCTTGAGAAAGAAAAGGCCACTCTTGCTTGGTTATGTTGCTTGGTTACTCCTTCATCTGAACAACAACCAGGTTGTTTGAACCTGTGGTTACTGCAGTGATAGATTCTAGCACCCAGCAACTCCTCCCATCACAATTAAGTCTAATCTTGCACATTTCACATTCTCCTGCATTTTTTGTTCTGCAACCAGAGATTATTGGGGAAATCTTTCAGTCTCTATCTGAGGCAGATGCCTCCTCATTCTGGCCATTTGCCATTTGATTAACAGTTTGAACCATGGGCATGTTGAGAATCTCAGACCTTCATTCTGAAACTCTGCTGATTTTTTTTTCAAAGCATCAATTATTATATGTTTTAGGTGCAAACACAGAAGTATCCAGGTAAAGAGAAATGAGGCATGTTTATAAATGTGTGGACTATTTCCAAAAGAGACCCACAATAGTGGTAACAGTGCAGGTAACAGTGCAGATGGCAGAGCTTGCCCCTGGGTGATGAGGGAAATTGCTCTTTTTTACCCTTTTAATTTCATATTATGAATCTATACAGAAAAAAATTAAAATTATATAAAAAAGCAATAAAGCCACTAGTAGGACATGTATTACAGAAACTGGAATACATATATTTCCAAAAAGAAAGCAAAAGTATTACATAACAGGCAAGTTCACAGAAATTAAAATTTGGGGATTCACATGAGCAAATGCTAACCAGATGGCCCCTGTTTACTATCTCCAAATGTCTGTCCATCTTATCTAGGTTATAGAAGGTCCGGTGGGGAGGAATCACCTTAATTCCTAGATAAGAAGTGGAGGCTAGGGACACTTGTGGTGCCAGTGTGGCTCTTAGAAAGGGAAGCAGTGCTGACACTTATTTTCCCAGCCACTAATTAATGATAGAATTCCCACCCTCTCCCAGGACAAAGGACTTCCCTGGTGGCTCAGATGGTCAAGAATCCACCTGCAATGCAGGAGACCTGGGTTTGATCTCTAGGTTGTGAAGCTCCCCTGGAGAAGGATAAGGCTACCCACTCCAGTATTCTTGCCTGGAGAATTCCACGGACAGAGAAGCCTGGCAGGGCTACAGTCCATGGGGTTGCAAAGAGTTCTACACACACAGAGTTCTGAGCCACTTTCGGTTTCACTTCTCAGAGTTGGTCTCATTCACTGGGCAAAGGAACTGGCCAGAGGCTGATGCTTGCCTGGGCTGGGATGAGAGGGGGTGGAGGGCGGAAGATGGGGGTGTGAAGCGGATTGTGAGGTGGAGCGGTGTGTGTTGGAAATGGAGGGTTCTCGAGCCTGTGTTTGTAGAGAGTGAGGAGAATGGCAGAAGTCTGCTCCGGGGATTGGATTAGACACCTGCATTGTCTCCAGCATGCTGCCGGGTAAGAGGTCTAAGGATGGTAGGTGAGTGTCAGGAAGAGGAGTCCAAAGTGGAGACCCTTCTGAGAAACTGAGTTTCTTCTAGAAACTCAGACCCTAAGCCACTAACATCCACCTGCCCTAGCCACTTGGTACTGCCTCTAGGACACGGGCCTCTAGGACACAGCTGGTGTTGTGGGTCACCCCACCCCTGTTGGGAGGGTCAGAGCTTTCTGCAGTGGTGCAGAAAAGACTGGGGGCAGCGGTGGGCTGGGGGGGGGGGGGCGGTGCAGGACTGCCTGGCTCCGAGTGCCTCTGCCACCCACAAGCTGTGTGATCCTCTGGCTGCAGTTTCTTCCTTCATAATAATAGATGATAATAATAATAGATAATAACACAATAATTCCTACTCAGAAGGGTTCTTGGACAGTCAAATGAGAATATGCACTTGAAATGCTTAACGAATGACATAGTAAGCGCTCAATGAATGAGACCCGAAGCCCTCAGAACTTCCATTCCTCAGCGCAAGCACCCTTAGTTTGCTTAACAGAGGAAATACGAGGTTTACCACCACCGGGATCCCGTTGGGCTTCAACAGGCTCTTGGAAGCAGTGTGGAAAATGGATTAGGGAGGGAGGAGAAGCAAGAGTAGAAATCCAAAGAGAAGGCTGCAGGCATCCAGATGGGAGCTGGAGGGGCGGGACCTCGGACCCTTGGCAGAGACAGACATTATTTCGGAGAAAATTTCTCTAGGACTCTAGGCTGGGAAAGGGCCCTTGGCCAAGGGCCCGGCTTGGGTGGCGGGAGAAAGATGGAAGGGAGGGAGGGCAGCAGCAGGGAAGATCTTGGGGGGGGGGTGGAGGGGGGCTGCGGGGGTGCGACACGTGCGGTCTGGGACTGGAGACAGAAGCTGCAAGCGCAGAGGCGGCTGTGAGTGCCGCGGTGGAGTTAGGGTAGGAAGTGGAGCAGTTTTGCACGTGGGGGGCCCGCTAACCGGCGCAGCTGGCCGGGATCTAGGTTCTGTGCGCGGAGGTGCTAAGCCCGATTTCCTGCCCGACCGTCGGCTCCGCCGCCCTCGGGTGTGCCCCGCCGAGCCGCCCAGGGGCGCTCGCAGGCGCCGAGCTCGGGACCCGCCAGGAGGCGTTCCATCTGGCCGGCTGGCTTCCTTCCTAGCGCCCTCCGTACCTCGCGGTCCTGTCAGAGCTCGCATTCCGCCCACCTACCCGGGGCCCCCGTCCTCCTGCTTCCCGTGACCTCAGAGGAGCTGGGGATCAAATTGAGGCTGGTTTTCCAGCCGGCCGCCGGCCAGACCGCAGAAATCTTCGCCGTTCACGCCCGGCGGCCTCGCGCCCTCCGCGGCCGGCCGGAAGGGGTCCCCGTCTCGGCTCGACTCCCCCAGTCTCCGCGCGGCCCACGGATGGGTGGGTGTCTAACCTTTTACTACCCGCCGAGTTCTGAGCCCGCAGGCGCGGGCAGTGTCTGCGTGCTGGGCGATCGCGGGCTGTGCGCACCGAGGGGACCCCCACCTCCGTCTGTCCCCGGCTGGATCGCAAGTTCCTGCGGGTTCACCAGACCAGGGTTGGGGATTATCACGCGCTCGCGGCGCCCGGAATCTCAAGGGGAATTAGGATACCCCCACAACCACCCCAAAGGGCACCCCCTCTACCTTCCTTGCCTCACTTTTCACGGTGGAAGAGATCCCAGGGCCCGGTGGAGATCGGCAACCCAATGCTTGCTGCTCAGAGGGGCTCGCGGACTTTCTCGAGGTTTGCAGCTAACGGGAGATCAAGTGCCCTCGAGGCACGAGGCTCCGGAGTTTGCTTTTCATGTTTTCCATCAATACAGCCAAAGCATAATTTAATCCGCTTTCTTTTTTTTCCCCAAAGGGAGAAGGTAAACCTAGTTTGGCGGATGACTCCCCCTTCTTGGGGGTGGTGAATCCTCGCTCGGGATGTGTGGCACCGCAGCAGAGGCTTCTAGTGACGACCCTCAGCAGCGGCGGGTGGCTTGGAAACTCGCTGAGGAAAATTCAAATGGAGCGATTTCTCCATACAGTGTCTAATATATGCCTGCCACGAGGGAGAGAGAGGAAGGTGGAACCAGGAGCGAGGTGGATTCCCCGATGGCGCTCTGGGGGAAAAGGCGTGCAGAGAGAAGCGGAGGGGAGGTGGGGGGCGGGAGGCCTCGCAGAGCGCGATAGCGGTCCTGTCCTCAGGTCCGTTGGCAGCTCTGCTGCTGGTGCCGACACCATCCACCGAGTAACAGGTGAGGGGGGAAAGCCCATCAGCCACCCCCTTGCCCAGAGAGGGAAGTCCCTGCGTGATGCTGCTGGTTCTCTGACATTCAGGACTTCCAATCACTGACACTCAACTCTGTCTCTCCCTTGTCCTCCACCCAGCCTTCTTACATATTTTTGAGGTTAGTAAGTCGTCAGAAGCATTTTTATGTTGGCAATCCAAGGCTCCAACTTCTGTCCTAGTCCCACCATTCTTGCTCACTTGAGGTTTTAAAGGCCAAGGGAAGAAATGATGTTTTGGCCTTCCAGTTCTTTCAGGCCTGGCCACCAACCCGATCCCAGAATGTGGGGGGTGATCTGCTGATATCACATCAGCCTAACACATGCTTCTTCCCTGTTTTGCACTTAGGAAGCCTACCTTTTCCACCACTCAAAGAGAGCACCCTTCATTTGTGCCTGGGTTCCTTGGTGGGTGTTCTTCCCTTACTCACACGCCTTCCTAGGGGACACTTGAAGCTTCCCCAGACCTGCCTGCCCTCCCCCAAAAACATTTCCCCCACATGGGCTGTGCCCTGTAGGGTCTCTTAGGACTACAGGAGTTGTTATGCCTTTCAGGGCAATGTGGCAGCCCTGGGACATTTCAGGCAGTAAATGGCACCTCTGCAAAGTCCCCACTAACTGGTCAGTTTTGCCTTTTCCTGCCTGGAAAGTCATACCTCTGGGTATGACTTGCCTGGTGATATGACCTCTGGAGTCTCCCAAGTATGACAATCAGAGCTCATTCACTGGTGGCATTTCCCAGTATGTGAAGCAGGAGGATGAGGTATCTACTAGCCAGGGAAACTGGGGAGTTAAGAAGTCTGAGATGCAGGTTGGATGAAGTATCTGGGGAGACTGGGGAAAACTGATTGAGGAGGGGAAGATATTAGGTTGCTGGGCAGGGCACTGGGGGCTCCACTGATATTGGTGAACAGGATGCTTGGTGGGGCAGATAGGAACTGAGCTGGGAAAACCCTGGGGCTTTGCTAGGCAGTGCTAAAGGGAGACCATTTAGGGCACTGGCGCTGGGTCTGGAAGGCGGTGAGTGCGGGCTGGTATGGTGAGACAGCTGAGTGTGGGAGGCAGTGAGGGCACTGGCAGGTGAGCAACGCGGGTGGACTCTGATCATGTAAGATCAGAAGTTCCCATGACTACATGTTGACATTTATGTTTTGAAAAATTAAGATTTTTTCTGTTGTTTTTATCAATACTTTCATAATAGTTTTAGGGAAGAGGAAAATACATACAGATTAGCTTAATGAGGCCTCTTTTGAAGTCCATCTTTCAGTCCAGAGGCATGTCTCACTTTACAAAAACTAAAGAAAAATCCAAAGTTTAAAAGATACCAGTTCAGTTCAGTTGCTCAGTCGTGCCCGACTCTGTGACCCCATGAACTGCAGCACAACAGGCCTCCCTGTCCATCACCAACTCCCAGAGCCTACTCAAACTCATGTCCATTGAGTCGGTGATGCCATCTAACCATCTTATCCTCTGTCGTCCCCTTCTCCTCTTGCCTTCAGTCTTTCCCAACATCAGGGTCTTTTCAAATGAGCCAGCTCTTCGCATGAGGTGGCCAAAGTATTGGAGTTTCAGCTTCAACATCAGTCCTTCCAATGAACACTCAGGACTGATCTCCTTTAGGATAGACTGGTTGGATCTCCTTGCAGTCCAAGGGACTCTCAAGAGTCTTCTCCAACACCACAGTTCAAAAGCATCAGTTCTTTGTGCTCAGCTTTCTTTATAGTCCAACTCTCACATCCATACAGGATTACTAGAAAAACCATAGCCATGACTAGACAGACTTTTGCTGACAAAGTAATGTCTCTGCTTTTTAATATGCTGTCTAGGCTGGTCATAACTTTCCTTCCAAGGAGTAAAGTCAAGTCACTCAGTCATGTCCGACTCTTTGCGACCCCATGGACTGTAGCCTACCAGGTTCCTCTGTCCATGGGATTTTCCAGGCAAGAGTACTGGAGTGGGTTGCCATTTCCTTCTCCACGAGTAAGCGTCTTTTAATTTCATGGCTGCAGTCACCATCTGCAGTGATTTTGGAGCCCCCAAAAATAAAGTCAGCCACTGTTTCCCCATCTATTTGCCATGAAGTGATGGGACCGGATGCCATGATCTTAGTTTCCTGAGTGTTGAGCTTTAAGCTAACTTTTTCACTCTCCTCTTTCAGTTTCATCAAGAGGCACTTTAGTTCTTCTTCACTTTCTGCCATAAGGGTGGTGTCATCTGCGTATCTGAGGTTATTGATATTTCTCCTAGCAATCTTGATTCCGGCCTGTGCTTCATCTAGCCCAGTGTTTCTCATGATGTACTCTGCATATAAGTTAAATAAGCAGGGTGACAATATACAGTCTTGACATACTCCTTTTCCTATGTGGAACCAGTCTGTTGTTCCATGTCCGGTTCTAACTGTTGCTTCCTGACCTGCATACAGATTTCTCAAGAAGCAGGTCAGGTGGTCTGGTATTCCCATCTCTTTCAGGATTTTCCAGGTTATTGTGATCCACACAGTCAAAGGCTTTGGCATAGTCAATAAAGCAGAAATAGATGTTTAAAGATATTAAAGAAATAGATGTTAAAAGATATAGGGGAGGACAAAAATTCGTATTTGACAAGAGGGCTCACTGCAGTTTCCTTAGAGATGTATAGGATATTCCAAGATGCACCCTTTCTTTCCCCCTTGCTATTTATATATTTAATATAAACAATGTAAATTGAGTTTCAGTTATTTCTTTCAATGAGAGGAGGTGGGCCAAACACATCTATAGAGACAGGCATTCTTGATTTTTTAACTATGAGAGAAAACAGTACAAAACCAAGAATGTCCATTGGGCATTATCTATGTCAGTGATATGAGGCCACCATGCTCATATAATTAAGACTGGTCTTAAATCTGGAAACTCAGGGGATAAATATTCTGACAAAAATTGTTAACCTACATGAAAATAAATACTTTTGATAAAGTTTCATCAGAGAAACAGTTGTGTGTGTGGATATTTTTATGGGAACATAACAATCACTTTGGAGCCTAAAAAAATAGAATGGCTTCAGCTTGAGCTCAGTTTTATGTCCCCTGGTTTCATGTGGGTTGGGGGCTTACTGGAGAGGTTGAGTCCTGTCCAGCAACAAAGTCTCAGATGAAACATTAACGTATCAGAATTACTGTGAAACTTTCAAAATGGCTGCCTAGAATCTTCTAGGAAGGGACCTGGGCACTTGCGTGTGGAAAAGCTTCTGCAGGTGGTTCTGACTTGCCACTTGAAGGCTGGGAACCACACAGCCTCAGACTTCTGCACTTCCAAAGGGAGGGCCAGTCTGAGTCTTTCTCTCTAGGGGCAGAGAGTAAACACTTTTTTCATACTTAACACTCTGCAAGATTCTGTAAGGCAAGATCCTATGGTTGATCTTTAACAGAGAAAAAGCGCAGTGTCCTTTTTACCTGCCACAAACACCATGTGGAGCCAGAACTGGGAGAGGGCTGGGGCAAGGGCAGTGTATGGGGCTGTCACCCAGGGCAAATGCAGTGTCCCCAGGGCTAAGACTGGTTCCTGAGCTTACAAGCCTTTCCTTTAATGCCTTCCAGAAAGTTTTGGGTAAAGCATGTTTTGCAAAAGAAGGTGGGAATAGATCACATCAATGATGATTAAATGAGAATTAGGTGAGGAGCCTAAAAAGTGCTTTGCACTCTGGGTTCTTTGATGGTGGATGCATCTTATAGTATCTCAGGTTCACTGACATCTTCAGTAGATCCCCAATCCACTGTTAACTGGATTTATGACATAGTGACTGTGGAGTCAGTTGCCTCACATGTGAAAAACGACCTTTGAGGGAGGCACTGAATATCATTCTTTCAGATTTTGAAGATCAGTAAATGTCAAAACTTTTGGGAACTGACATATGGTTAGCAACTTTTACATCAAGTAAAGATGATGAAATAGGTGAAAAACTATATCATTTTGTAAGATTATTTTGTATCATAAAGGAAGAATAACTTCAGAATCTTAAAACTACATAACCAACTTTAAAACAACTATATACTGCCCTTGGCTTTCTCATACTCTATGGATTGATGAAAAGTTTATCACCAACTCATCTCTGCAAACTAAGGTTCTGTCACCTTGAACACATAGGGGCAGCTGCACTGCTTGTAGATGATGTTAATTTACCCAACTAAGTGGTTTCAGGGCTTGAAGGGAACTCTGAGGAATTCAGATGCAAAGATTTCACAGTATCTTGCCTCAGTTTCCAATAATGACAACTGTGTGTTGAGTGCTAGCAGCCAGAAACTGTCATTGCTTTGAAGAGAAGTAAAAAAATACAGATTGTGGCAAATAGAATCACGGAAACTTGAAGTTGGAAGGTTTTTTAGCAATGATCTTATTCCTTTTCAAACTAATACTCCACGGAGCCACAGTAGTGCTCCTTGAATCAATGGACCTCCATTTTAATTGCTATAATTGAGCCTCCACTTAAAGAGGACTTCAACTGCTTAAAAAAATGCTTGACCCACCACTGATTTAGTCCATCTCCAATTTGAAGAGGAAACTGAGGCTGAAAGAAACCCTGGCATTTGCCTGTGGTCACCTACTTAGTTGGCAGAACGTGGCAGCACACCACCAGTGCGGCAGGAAGGAAGGACTGTTGTTAGTGTCTGTCCCCATATTCATCAATGGCTGAACCACATGTTCTCACTGCTCCATGGCAAGGAGATTCAACCCTTACAGTTACCCTTCTGGAATGTTCTGACTGGCTCCTTTCCACACTGAACCCCATACTCTGCTTGGCATACCGTTCCTACATGATAATTATGACAAAACATTTCACTGACAACTGTTGGAAACTAATTTCTTAACTCCAGGTCTGTATTTTTACTCCCATTTTGACCGTCATTGATAAAAATCTCTTTTAATAGCATTTCACTATATTTGAAGAGTACACAGCTAACATTTGTATGAACATCATCTTATGTTTCTAAGGTCAAGTCTATGTAAGAAAATTAAAAAGTACCTGATTTTACAAAAAATATACTTTTATTAAAATGACTGGACTCTACTGTCTGATATGTAAGCTAAGTTGAAGAGGTAGCTACTTTCTTTCTGAGGTCCTGGTAGAGCTGATCCCACAACAGTCTAACACCATTTATATATTAAGTCTACCACAGACTGCACAGCACATTCATTCTGCAGCAAGCTCTTGGTGGTGAAATGTAGCATCTAGGAAGTCTGGATACAATTCCGCTGCAAGTAGCAAAAAAGAAAAAAAGGAAAAAACCCAACTAACATGACTCTTTATAGACATGGTTTCCTTTGTTTTATCAGTAGCAGTGCCTCACCTGTACATCTAGTGTTCATAGCACAGTACACAGGGGCTGAGTGAATGTTTCCAAACAAGTGAATTCAACAACAAGCACATTTTATTGGTTATAAAGCATGTTAAATTCAACAAAATATAAAAGTTTTAAATAAAATCAAATGTTTACTTATTTATTCATACCTAAGAGAAATACAAAAGTACTATACAAAGTTTTATATACTTGTATAAAAAGTTGAGGCATTGGTGTTCTGTGGCTAATAATTATATTACTTTAGCATCATACATCATATAATGATAGTAAACAACATTAACTCTTTGCTTTTGAGCAGTTATGAGCTTACTATTTTAATATACATCATGTATTTAGTATTCATTATTACTTTTGTATAAATAATTTCATAATGGTAGCACATGATACTGAGGGAAAAGGAAAACAGTTAATAATCTTCCAAATGCTAGTAAGAAAGAAACTCATTAATGTACACTTGATTTGGGGGGTAAGCATAATTTGGTTCAATGACTTAATGGAATCGAGAGTGAAACAAAGTGTTTTTAAACTGGAAGATACTCATGTCCATCAATTTCAAGCCCTTCATCTTCCATATGAGGAAATGGCTGCACACTAGCCTAAATGACTTATCTAAGGTCACATAATTATACAATGAGAGACGCCCCAGGTCTCCTGGTCACAAATCTAGGATCTTTTCCATTTCATAATAGAGGTTTATACTATAATACTATCATATATTTTTTTAAAGATCAAATCAGTTATCAAGGAAAACTAATACATGGTAACATTTGAGACTTAAAAAAAATCCAGAGCAAGAGTTTATTAAAAATATATATTGACAACTTTGTAACATAATTAGTGTGGAATACAGAGTTGTAAACATTGATGGCAGAAATTCATTGGTTGTAGTAATTCATCTATATGTTTATGTATCACTCTTGTGTATGAGCTGTGCTTTCATCTGTATCACTTGAGTTAAATTTTTTCCACAAAAATTTCTCGTTTGATTTCCAAAGAGAAGCTTCGAGATCCTCCTTCCTTTTGGAAGATGCAGCAAAAGGCACTTTTTCACAGAGAGTCTCTATTACTGCCAAGTCGGTGAGTTTACTAAGACTGTCGTCATTTTGGTCATTCAAGATGTCCCAGAAATCTTTTGGTTTCTGTTTCACTTTTTCGATGGACCCAGAAAGAATCTTCTTCGGCAGTTGTGTGGGTCTATTCTCATGACTTTTAAAGAGGTCATCAAGAATAGAGGTGTCACCAAGTAAGCCTACCACAGAAGTGTTTTCTGACACTGGATTTTCTATTGTTTCGTTTTCCACTTTGAAGGTGGGCCCATTTCTTGAAATACGCAAACCGGTGAGATCCTGTTGGTCTGTCCCGGCATTTCCCAACTTTTCCACCTTAGCTGCTCCAGACTTACTGTTCAGGGGACGGGATGCAGCAGTGTCTTTGGCTGCTTGGCTGCTGACCCCACTGTCCGTCTCCTGGGTACAGTTTATAGGTAATTTCTTAGTTTCCACAGCACTGGAAAGCACCTTTTCTTTACAGGAACTGTGATTTTGAAACTTAACTGACTTTTTTTTACATATGTTGGGGCTGAAAATTGGAGAAATTTTTTTGGTAGAATTTTTAAATGACACAGTTTCAGAATCTGATAGCTGTTCTTTCATAAGAGATTCTCTTTTTTCAGACTTATTCTTGACTCTCTCTCCTTTCTCACAGGCAGACTTAGTGCATTCTGAGGGAGAATCCACAAAAAATTCTCTTACCTCTGGATACTGAGAAGTATAAAAGTCTCTTAGCATTTTCTGTCGTTCCTCTGATGTGGCATTAGTTACATGTTTAGCAAATTCCTTTACAGAAGACAACTTAAAATAAGAAGCCATTTCTTCAAATTGTTTTCTGAAGATTTAATGAACAAATCCAATGGTTATTTTCACTATATTTTATTTTTAAAGAACTTGTCATCAGTGTTATGCTATGTAGCAACAAAGCTATGTAAATGTATTCATTAGCATATATCACAATGAACATACATTTTGCACTTAAGAGAATGTGAATTCTTCCCTTACACTACTGAAAAAAAGTATTTTAGTTCATGAAATTACCAACTTTTTAAGTTATTCTGACTTTTATTATCAGGTATTTCCTGGGAATTGTATGATCTCAGCATGCTGCTCTTCCAGTCAGATAATTTATGACTTACAGCAGAATTATAATTTATATAATCTGTGTTTGAAAATCTATACTGCATACAAGATACGTAAAATAAAATTGTCAAAGACGGTATCAATAAATAGAAAAGAGAAAATGCCCCCAAATTAACAATTTTTAAGAATTTTTCTCTTCTATGTCCTTTATTCTCTTTCTTCAACAAATACAATATAGAAATTTCACACGCCTTTTTGATAGGCATAAAGGGAAGTTCTAGGAGACCAGGGGTTCGATCCCTGGGTACGGAAGTTCCTCTGGAGAAAGGAATGGCAATCCACTCCAGTATTCTTGCCTGGAGAATCCCATAGACAGAGAAGCCTGGTGGGCCACAGTCCACAGGGTCACAAAGAGTTGGACATGACTGAGCGACTAATACACACACGCACACGCACACGCACACACACACACACACACACACACACACACACACACAGAGGGAAGTTCTAAATTGATAAGCCTAGATTCTCTCTCAGTTTTGATCCAATGGATCTTACCTTCAGTATAGGTAACTAAACTAATGTCAGATGGTATTTGAAGAAATGAGTTTCAGAGTTAGCATCAGATATTCATAAAGCCACTGAAGAACTGCGCCTTCTGAAACCCTATTAAGATGGAGGTGGAAAGCCTGTTTAGGAACCTGGGCACTAGACTCTGCTCCTTTCCCTAGGTGAGGGTTCTATAGACTGAACCGTGCCACCCACCCCAAATCCATATGTGGAAGCCCTAAACCCCAATGTGACTATATTTGGAGACAGGGGCCGTTAGGAGGTAATTAAGGTTAAAAGAGGTCATAAGAAGTCACCAGAAGACTTCTCTGGTGGTCCACTGGTGAAGAATCTGCTGCCAATGCAGGAGTCACAGGTTCAGTCCCTGGTCTGGGAAGATTCCACACGCTGTGGAGCAACTACACCTGTGTGCCATAACTACTGAGGCTGTGCTCTAGAACCTGTGCTCCACAACAAGAGAAGCCTCCGCAGTGAGAAGCCTGCGCACAGCAACAAAGACTTGGTACAGCCAAAAATTAATAAATAAATGAAATTTTAGAAAAAAAAAGTCACCAGTAAGCTCTCTCTCTGCCACAGGAGGACACAGTGAGAAGGTGGCCGTCTGTAAGCCAGGAGTCCAATCAGCTGGCTCCCTGATCCTGGGACTTCCCAGGCTTCAGTACTGTGAGAACATATTTCTATCTTTTAAGCTGCAGCCTGTGGTATTCAGCCCAGGCAGACTAAGAGGGTTTTCCTTTGCTGATGTTGAGTTTAGGCCATGAGTCAGGAAAGCTCACTGTTCATAAATGTTTTTATAAACAAAAGCTACAGATGCTGCTGCAGTAAATGATTACAAGTCCCCAAATTGAAGACTTACATCTATTTTTATATAATATTTCCTTAAAACTTTGATTTATTGACTGAAAAAATATTTATAGAGCTCTCTTATCTGCAAGGCACTGTAAGAGAAACTATACAACAGTCAACAAATCCCAGTTCCCTGTCTTCAAGGAGTTTATAGTCTGGTTGGCAGAGACAGATACATGAAGATCAAACCAGAAGGGAGGGATAAATCCTATGATGGAGGTAAGTATGGTGCCCTGTCGGCACCCACAAAAGGGTGTCTAAGCCAGTGACTGGCAGTGGGGTGGACAGCAGGGAAGGCTTCACTCCTGTCACCTCAAGCCAGTCAGGTAAAGATGAGCCAAGACGCCTCCTAGAGAGAGAGGAACATGCACAGGCCCAGTTCCAAGAAGATGTGGCGGATAGAGGGGCAGGAGGAACTGCCAGGGAAGAGGATGAAAATCACGAGGGGTCTGTATGCCAATTTAAGAAGTTTGAATTTCATTCTGTACACAACAGAGAATCCTGAGGGCAAAAAAAAAAAAGTGATTTTTTAAATGCACATAAACAGGAGCTTTACTTATTAAAGCCACTCTTACTTTTGCCACTGAGACCAGGTTGTATAAAGTCTGTGTTTCCTTTGATTTTAGCGGCAATCCATACCATATACTCAGAACTTTCTTCTGTAGTTTCAGATGAGCACCCTGGCCTCTAGTCCTCACCACACTGGTCCTGTTACTTGTTTCCAAATCCAGGTACTAGCTATGCCTGATCAACAGTCACTCTCATTGCCAAGAGAATATTTAAAACAACACAAAAACAAGTTTCCAAATTTCTGTCCTGTTGTAAAGCATCAAGTATGTTCTCAAGAGGTTCCAGTTTTAACTTCACAGGAAGTAATGACGTATCATTATTTTGTTTATTAATCATTTCTGAATCCATTTTCATGGCCTTTCTAATAAATATTTGTGCTGTGAAGATTAAGTTATTGGCAAAGCTACAGGCTGATGTCTTTTATTTATCTGAGACTTGGTGGTGTATCAGCAGTTGCCAAAGTACTTTCCCCTTTGCTGTGCTGACCTCACCTATGACCCTGTGCCTCTGTCAGCTCTGGGAGGAGAGGTGCTTCTGTCAGCTCTGGGAGGAGAGGTGCTTCTGTCAGCTCTGGGAGGAGAGGTGCTTCTGACCTTATTCTGTCTGAGTGGTATACCAGGATACCGGCTGTGTGATTACCCTTTACAGGATGAGTTATGACTACAATTCATTTTATTTTCACCTTCTAAACTTGCTTTCATAATTCTTGGTCTTAAAAAGAGTTTTCTTTAAATATTTAATGACTCAAGGTACAACCAGGGAATATAAGCTAGCCACTTTGTGAGGAAAATTTTGTAGACACTCATAAGCCACTTAGGGAAAGGGGTGTGGATGGGGGAAGAAATCAAAGCTGGGTATCTTTGTCTTTCAGCAAGTAGATGAAGAGTAGCTGTGGAAAAATTCAATTCCTCTCCCTTGTTCTTGAGGAACTGAAGGAGAAGGGGTGGAAACACAGCTAAATACCATGCTGTTTCTGCCTGAACTTTCTGAAGTGAAGGTAGGACTGAAACTTCATTCAGATGATCCGTGGGACTGCATCATGGTATAAATTCTTGATTCATGTAGAGTAGAATGGTTAACAGGAAAGAGGTGCCAGCAGTTCGGGCACTGTTCCCTAGCTCAGATGTTGGCATTCTAATATTAGACACCCTTCACCTTTTTATTAAGCATGAGACATTTATCCTGAGGCTAATATAGAGGAAAAAAAAAGAGGTAAAAAAATAATCATTGTTAATTCTTTCTTCCTTCCTTTCTTTAATTTTTTGGCCATGGTGCGAGACATACAGGATCTTAGTTCCCCCACCAGGGTTTGAACCCAGGCCCTCTGCAGTGCAAGTGTGACGTCTTAACCACTAGACTACCAGGGCAGTCCCAATACTCTTATTTTTATATACAGTGCCAAAGGGGATAAGACGCTTTTGCTTCTCAAAGATTGGTAAAAATCTATATAGTTAGACTCCTAGCAAATTAATTGCCCATACAAAATTGCCCCAACTTTACTCCAAATCATTGCTGTAAATATGTCTGTGAGGAGCTGCAATGCTGTAGCAGTGTGGGATGTTCACCTTTCTGGGCAATGGGGGGCAGCTCAGGGGTGTGATCCAATCTGCCACACCAGGACCTGAGGAGCTAAGGGACCAGTTGCCTGGGAGTTGCCAAAACCCTGAGGGAAGCATCTGGAACACACAGAGTGACCAGCACTTTCCTACTGTCTGTAGAAGCCATCAGGACCTTGCTTCCTCCCCTGTTTACCTCAGTCACCACGCCACAGGTCCCCGGACCACTGGCTTCTCATCCTCCTCCTGGCCTCTACATCCTGGATCTGATCCAGTCCCTCATCCTTCCAGACCGTTCCTTGGTGCCCCTGGAACCAGGCTATGACCTACCAGCTCTCCTGTGTCTTCTACCCAAGGAGTCCCTCTGTCTCCTCCTTATACTGCCTCCTCCTATGCAGGCTTCACAAGTCAAAATTCTTACACCTCTCATCCTTAAGCCTCAGCGTTCAAGCTTCCCACTGCTGTTTCCAGATTATTTTTCCTTAAAAACTCCTCCCACTCTTTAAGGTTTATGCTATCTAGCTGAACCATTCTCACTCCCACCCCATCTTGTTAACTGACTTCCTAGTTGCTCCCTGCTGGAGACTGACACTCAAGATCCTGGATTAATGTTGCTTCCTTTCCCATCTTCTGCCATCATTCTTGATAACATCAGTATCCGTGTAGATGTCCCATCCAACTTCTAGCCCACCAGTTTCTTTACCTCACCTCCAAAGACTCAATTTCATGTCAGGTCCCTATCGCCAAGATCATCCCACTAAGGTCATTACCATTAACTGCACAACTTCCAAATTCCTGAATTCAATCACATCATGCTCCAGTTCAACTACTCAATTATCCCCATGACAACTATGTTAGATTGTACCTTTCATCTCATCGAGTCCTCCAATTTGCTGACTCTTCTGCTTTCTCACTATCATCAACATCCCTTTGTTCAGTTTAGGTTCAACTTTATAATCACTTCTTTGCAAACATCCTTCAGCTTCCTTTCTTTTCTCCCCTTCTCCTGGTAAAACTCAGCTGTTTCCCTATTCTGTGTCTGTCACTGAGCAACTGAAACTTGAATGAAGTCTGTACAACTACACAGATGGTTTTACTGTAATTACTCTCAAAGAGGGACTTAACATCACTCAGGAATTCTAGCCCCACAAGCTTGCTTTACTACTTTATAAATTACTTCTTTCATAATTTCTTTCCCCCCAAATCTCTCTCCCTCAATACTGATGCTTTAATTCTCAATTAAGGAAATACCCATTGTATCTGGGCCTTTCTTTACGCCTTTCTCTTGTTGTTCAGTTGCTCAGTCATATCCGACTCTTTGCAGCATATCCCCATGGACTGCAGCACGGCAGGCTTCCCTGTCCTTCACCATGTCCTGGAGCTTGCTCAAACTTGTGTCCATTGAGTTGGTGATGCCATCCAACCATCTCGTCCTCTGTCGTCTCCTTTTCCTCATGCCTTCAATCTTTCCCAGCATCAGGGTCTTATTTCCCAATGAGTCGACTCTTTGAATCAGGTGACCAAAGTATTGAAGCTTCAGCTTCAGCATCAGTCCTTCCAATGAATATTCAGGGTTGATTTCTTTCAGGATTGACTGGTTGGATCTCCTTGCAGTCCAAAGGACTCTCAAGAGTCTTCTCCAACACGACAGTTCAAAACCATTAATTCTTCAGCATCCACCCTTCATTATGGTTCAACCCTCACATCCATACGCGACTACTGGAAAAACCATAGCTTTGACTATACCGACTTTTGTCAGCAAAGTAATGTCTCTGCTTTTTAATACGCTGTTTAGGTTGTCCCTTTCTCTCAGTACCTCTCAAAGGCTAGACTTTCGCCTGTGGTCTGCATCCCACCTTCTTCTGCCTTCAGGACTTCACTCTTTCTGTTGTCACCTCCCTGGGATAATCTCTTTTTCCCCTATTAGTCTTTTTCCTTGATACACAAACAGGTTTTCGGGGGTTGGCAATCTTACAGAAAAACTTGAATGAACTTTTTGGCCAAGCCAATATTATCTTCTCAACTTAAAAACAAACTATCCTTGATTCCATAATGCCCTTGAGCTACTGCCAGTTTCCCCATCCAGATTTAAGGAGCAGTCCCAGGGGCTTGTCCTTTCATTGCCTGCCCACCTCACCTTGGCATCTGCCTACTTAAGAATGCTCACGTGGAGGCGACTGAAGAGTCTTTTAGCTCCAGGGCCTTTCCCCCTTCTGCTTCTGCTTCTCAGCAGCAGTCAGTAAAGTCAGTGTTCCCTCCTTTCTGAAACTCTCCCTTCTCTTGGGTTTCAGGGTCTTGCACGGGGCCTCCTACCCAGCAGGAGGACATAGTCACCCTCCAGGCTCAGTCCTGGGGCGTCTCCTCTCCTCTCTGTGTTCTGTTCCTAGGCTGCTCACAGTCTATGGCTGTAAAGACCATTTGTAAGCGATTTCTAATCTCAATGCTGATACTTCTAAATTTAGATCTCCAGTCCCCGAATCTCAGGGTAGCATTATCCACTGCCTATGTGACATTTCCCCACATCGTCAAATTTAATGTGAATGAAAGAGAACTCTTGATTTTGTTTTTACTCCAACCTTTTGTCTCTCCTAGTTTTCCCTATTCAGTGAATCCAATCTGTTGTTTAAGGCAGAAAAATGGGAGTAAACCTGTCTTCTCCCTTTCCCAACAACCAGTTCAACACCGAACTGAATTTATACAATTGGCTCTGTCTCCATGGCAACTACTCTACTCTAGCAAACCACCACCACCCAGTTCCTTATGGTTTCCCCTAGTCCGCTCTGCCCTCTTCCAGGCAGAAGCTGGAAAAACCTTTTAGAAACATATTAATACATCAAATCATGTCATGCTTCAACAATTCCTACTGCAGTTGGAACAAAATCCAAATTCTTTTCTACAGTCTACAAGGCTTTGCATGCTCCAGGCTCATTTAAGTCTCTCCCTTCATCTCATGCCATTCTCTCCTTGATTTATTATGCGCTAAGTACACTAGCCTTCTTTCAAAAGCCCCGCCCTCTTCAGAAAGTTCTCACTCTGCTCTTTGCCTGTTTATCCTTCAAGTCTTAACTCACATGTCACTTGTGTAGAGAGTCTTCCCTGACTACCCGCTAGAAAGGATGTGGTGCCCCTCCTGATCACGCTATTCTCTATAATGGAAGCTGTCCATTTCTCTCCTACAGCACACTATTTCATAATTATTTATAAGCTTTAGTACTTTTGAAAATTTTATGGTTTGATGACAAACCTCATCTCATTGTACTGTAAGCTCTTTGTCTCTTTTTTGACACTGTATATTCAGCACTTAGCACAATGCCTGAGTGCATATCAGGTGCTCAATAAATATTCAATGACTAAGTGAACTGAATGCACTTAAGTATTTCATTTACCTATATAAAATTTACCTATTTCATTTACCTGTATTTCATCTTTTATCAATTCAGGCATTAACCTTCTTAAAACACTAAAACATTTCAGATTTTTTTTTTTGGCCATGCTGCAATGCTTGGGGAATCTTAGTTCCCCAATCAGTGATTGAACCCGGGCCACTACAGTGCAAGTGCAGAGTTCTAACCACTGGATTACGAGGGAATTTGGGGATTTGTTTTTTAAAGTGTACAAATTCAGATTTTTCTGAAATATTCAGATGCCAAGTGTAGTTAACATTCAAATAATTTGTGTATTTACCTAGGTAGTTATATTTCTTTTGAGAACTATTCACAAAGCCAGGTGTTATCACAGATGACATACCTGCGGATCCCCTTCGGTGTTTCTCCAATTATGAAGGTGGTCTGGTCTGTTCGGCAGACTTTTTTCTTCTTCTGGCTTACAGGGTGCGAAATGTAAAGAGGAAATGAAATGCCACCTTCACTTGGTGGTTGGCATTCCTTCGTACATGTTGATATATCGCCCTTCATTTTTTCCTTATGTGTCTGAAACAAGGAATGAGAGCAAAAACTGAAAAAATATTCATTTTTAGTCAAATAAGGAGTCTGTCTTACTTTTTCTCAATATTCTTTACAATCTCATATATCATATTCATGGGCTTCCCTCGTAGCTCAGTCGGTAAAGAATCTGCCTGCAATGCAGGAGACCTGGGTTTGATTCCTGGGGCGGGAAGATCCCCTGGAGAAGGAAATGGCAACCCATTCCAGTATTATTGCTTGGAGAATCCCATGGACAGAGAAGCCTGGCAAGCTACAGCCCATGGGGTTGCAAGAGTCAGACACAACTTAGCAACTAAACCACCAATCATATCCTCCAAGTGACATCATTGCCAGATTGTTAGATCTTTAAAAAGATACTACATTTAGCAGTAATGTAATGCTTCTATTTTCATTAAGATATATGCTAAAGATATATCATTCTTAAAGATACACTAAAGGTAATGGTAATATGATGTTTCTATTGTCAAGACTGTGGGTATACTGATACACATGCTGGCATCTACTTTCCTAAAGATACAAATTAGTGATGTAAATAATGGTATAAAATGAGATATTTAAAATTTTTTAATTTAGTAATTTTTCTCAATATTACTAAGCAGACTTTCAGTTATTTAACCTTATATAAGTAGTCAAACTTTTAAAAATAACAATCTTTATATGATAATGAAATAAACTAGTTTCATAAATCCTACTTCAATCTCTACTGAGTTGCAAGAAGTAATTGTTAAGATGTTTACATTAGGGCATTGAAATTACAGAGAGAATAATATTTAATTTATAGACTAAGGGTTGCTTGCTTAACACAAATTGTTAAAAATAGTGAGTCAATAAAAAAATAATTTTAAACTGTATGATTCCAATTTCCCTGATAAAATGATATGGTGAATATATGGAAAGTCCCCATCTCATTTCAAAAAAGAGAAATGTGTGCATGCGCAGTTGTTCAGTCGTGGACTCTTTTGTGACCCCATGGACTGTAGCCTGCCAGGCACCTCTGTCTGTGGAATTCTCCAGGCAAGAATACTGGAGTGGGTAGCCACTCCCTTCTCCAGGGGCTCTTCCAGACCCAGGGATTGAAGCTGGGTCTCTGGCCTCTCCTGTATTGGCAGGTAGATTCTTTACCACTGAGCCACCTGGGAAATATTGGATGCAATTTGACAACAATGATAAAATTATATTTGAGCTCAAAAATAAGACAGGAAAATCTCTAGACGCCCAAATTAAAGTAACAGCAGCAGCAGGTGGGAGCTGAAGCTCAGCAGCTGCCAAGGATGGGTCCTAAGTTCTGGACGGCAGGACTCCATGTGTGGAGGGAAAATGGAAAAGATTTAACTCTCTGAGTTAAACAGTCAACAAACCAAAAACACAGTAGGAATTAAAAGGATATCCAGTTTTCAAATTAAAGCTAGGAAAGCCCAAACTGGGGCACAGGATAGAAACAGCCAACTTTTTCGGTCTTGATAGAAGCACTGGTGAAAACACAGAATGCCCAGCCTGTGTGATTTGTGGAATACACTTGCATTGTAAGGAAAATCTAAACTAAAAACCAACATAAAAAACTAGCCCAGAATCAATGAAAACCATAGATCTCAATGAGGGGTAAATACATAGGAACACTTTTTAAGTTTAGAGAATGCTTGTGATTCTAAGGGGGAGGGCAGGGAGAAGAGCTCAGGTGAAATTATAAAGAACATACAAAACCCACTGCCATGAAAGTGGGCAGATACAACAAATATGTGAGTCTGTATCTGAGGAATTATAGATTACAAAGTAATGTGAAAGAGACTTTAAATCTTTAGCACATCCAGAAAGATAAAGGAAGTACTAGGTATTATAAAATACCAGATCTGAGAAAGAACCAAATACAAACTCTAGAAGGGAAATATAGGTTTGGAAAAAAAGGATATAGAAAAAAATATGTGTTAAGAAGCAGGCTAAATAGCCTTACAATGATAGTTTATAGACTGGTAGAATAAATTACTCAGAATGCTGTACAGAGATTAAAAAAGAAAAACAAGAAAGAAAAATAAAGAGACAGAAGACCTGTCAGAAGATAAACCAAATTTATAAAATATTAGAATGATAGAATAGAGAAAATAGAAGACATAATGCCCAAGATATAATGGCAGAGAGCTGGAGAAGGCACGAAACTTCACACTAAAGAAGGAGAATCTCTAGTGTGAAAAATGAAAATAAATCTGTACCTTGTTATATCACAGAAAAGAGACTATCTTATAAACAAACAGAGAAAAAAGATAAGCTATCCCACAAAGAAATAATAATCAAACTAAAGGCAGACTTCTCATTACCACTACTACTATCACCACCACTGCCACCAGAAGATAGTGAAGTTATCTTCAACATGCAGGGAGGGAAAAAACCTATCAACCTAGAATTCTATACCCAGTTAAACTATCATTTAATAAATTTGCAGGCATACAAATACGGCAAAACACAGATTAGTAATTCTCAGTAAGACAATTATTCTTTCTTTTATAGGTGTTCAATGGGATTGAAGTAGTACATATCATTGAATGTGGCTGCAGAATGGCTTTCATTCCACATATATTTACAAAGCACCTATTATGTTCCTGCCACTATGCAATGTAATTGAGAACCAAAATATTTATGTACAGAAAGAGGCTTGTACTCTTAAGGGACTTAAAAATGCTGAGTTACCCCTCCCCCTTTTTAAGATGTCACATTTAGTTTATTTCTTTTTACAATTAAATTGTTTATCTCTTTAATTTATATTCATTTCCTTGAAATAAACTGAACAAGAGAAATAACTGTATTTTTTTAAAAAAGCAAACCATTCCTAATCCAAAGAAACTGACTTCTTCAAAATCTACTGTGATTCATATGTACATCACAAAATGCCAGGTTGTCAGTTTGAACCAGGGCTTTGCATCAGTCAGTAATGCTGAAAGTACTTTCCTCAAAGACATCATTTCCTAAATCTTAAAACATTATTAATAAAGAGAGAAAAGTGTTCATCACTAAAGATAAGTTTGAAAGAGATTTGATGCATTTACTTCACATCACAAGAAAATAAGATGAATTTTAAAAGTTCCTAATAAAAAAGCTCATTATCTTTGATGATTCCCAAGAAATAATTGTCCATTATTATAAGGAGGAATGGTAATGTCTATGTGGGGATAAAGAGAGTAAGCCAAAAGAGAAGGAACTGGGCCAGCCAGGAACATGCCCTCCTCATATACCGTAATTTCTGAAGCCATGGAGAAACCATGCCAGGCAATGGCAATATTCAATTATTTACATGATTACTCTGGGTCTTTCTGACTCTGGAAGCATTATAAAGCTCATATTTCAAACCCCAGATACATTTTTTCTTAAATTAGTTTCACATATTCTTCAGGAAAATTCAACTTTTCCAATCATAGCTATCAGACATGTGAATTTTAAATTTTAAATTTAATGACAAATATTCTATACTTTAAAACCTGATTATTTTAGATAATAATGAAAAGAAAAAAGCATTTTTCTCTCATGTGGGCTCAATATTACATCTTTTATTTTAAAAAAAAATCTAGGTTCAGATTTCCATTTTAAGTAGCTTAGTTTAACACTTACTGAAACAAGGCTGTGAAACAAAATTTTGTTTACTAATTTGTTTAATAAACACTTTGATGCCCTGGTTATAAAAGCTGGTGTCACTATTTTGTAGTAAAATAGTATCTTCTACAATAGATAATATAAGGAAAATAGTGACATAATGCAGTTGCAATTCCAGGGGCAGTTATAATTTATTATAAAGCAAAATACAAGGCCTGCAACCAAGATGAAAAGATTCCAAATTATGTGAAATTAGATGCAAACTCGTTTACTACCACTTATGTCAAAGCTGGGAAGTCATATGACACTAAGGCAACAGTATGAAGTAGCAACAATAATGAAAGGTCAAGAAATGAAAAATTCAGTAAAATGAGCTGGATTAGGAATTTAAAAGATAATATTATTGCTTCTTAACATTATGGTAGAGGGTAAGACTTGCCAGCTAAGGAAAGCAAAATAAATCCACTCTTCTTTCCACCAGAGAACAGGATGGCCAACAGTTGGAACTCTATGTCTGCATTCGATAGGAAATTTTGAGATCATTTAACATGAAGAAAGGAGAAAGCCTAGTGTCCATAAAAACCTCTAATTGTTCCTTTTTCCTAAAAAGTTTCTTCAAAATTATCCAAGATTTGCTTTGAGGAATTATTTCTACACTCCATGATACTGATATAGATTTCCTTTCTCTTAAGATTTATGGTTATAATATTAAGGAGGAAATTATGAAGAAAAGAACTTTGCATAGTATTTGTATAATATAAATATGTCTGCTAATAAGTATTTTACAAAGCTTGACACTGAGTTTATAACAGTAACTGCTATGTTCATGATTATTTTCATGAATTACTGGATATTGTTAGGTATTTCTACTATGGTACTTTAATGAAAATAATCAAATTTAAATTATGGAATATTTATTAAAAATAAAAGTAAGTATAAAGAATATAGTAATTATTCCTAAATAATTTAAATATATAGTTTAAAAATCCATTTGATGATGAGATTAACTGAATGGAAATGTGGGGTTACTTGTGCTGTGCTGTGCTAAGTCACTTCAGTCATGTACAACTCTTGGGAATCCTGTGGACTGGAGTCTACCAGGCTCCTCTGTTTATGGGATTCTCCAGGCAAGAATACTGGAGTGGGCTGCCATGCCCTCCTCCAGGGGATCTTCCCAACCAGGGATCGAACCCAGGTCTCTCGCATTGCAGGCAGATTCTTTACCAGCTGCACTACCAGGGAAGCTCCATGGGTTACTTAAGAAAGCTGAATCTATCAGAGAATATTGAAATAATAATTCCAATTTATGAGTAGTAATATATCTTCCTCCTTTGGCTGTTTCCTATGTGGAGCAGCCAATTGAAAGTTGATAAAGTAGAGGAAAAATTCTCTCCCTTCAGAATTAAACA